AAATGGTAAAGAGACGAAACCGAAGCCTGCACGGTAGCAGTTTCCTTAAAACAGATTTCGCCGCCTCACTGGTCGAGTGCTTGAGGAATCCCGGCGTCTGTCTCCCAGGATACGACGGTCAAAACCAGCTACGGCAGAAGCACTCTCTGTCTAGCTTAGCGAACAAAACAGTGGCAGCACTCTCTCACTGTAGGAACTTTCAGGCAAACTGACTTGTGAAATGGAAGTAAAAATTTCTGTGTTTGAGACTTGACAGGAGGGTCTCAATTTATACATGTATAGGGGAGAGAGGAAGAGCCTCCAGCCTTTATGGCTGTTCATAATGCACTATTAACCTCTGCAATAAAGGCAGGAGTTACAAACCCCATTAATGCAGGAGTTACAAACCCGATTAATGCAGGAGTTACAAACTTCATTACCTTTTTTTCCATGAAGCTAACTTCATGAGGTAATTTCTCATTCAAATCTCAATGGTTTTTGGCCATTCTATCTGTGGTGTAAAGATCTCAATGCAAAGTATCTAGACCCACTTGGACCCAACACAATAGATGGTTGGGACCCACTTTAATCTTTAATTAAAGTCACCACACTTTAATATTAAATTAAAGTCCCCAAAAATCATTTTTTCCAACATCTTACTGAAGCACAACTCCATTTCTTTTGCATTGTAGTGTTCGTGAATGGCAAAGTTTGCAACGACCCAAAGCTTGCCACAGCAGATGACTTCTTCTTTTCAGGCCTCCTTACTCCTCAAAACACATCGAACCCAATTGGGTCAAAGGTTACTCCCGTAAACGTTATCCAAATACTAGGCCTCAATACTCTCGGCATCTCCTTAGCTCGCATTGACTTTGCACCTTATGGCCTCAACCCACCCCACACGCACCCTCGTGCAACTGAGGTCATCGTGGTGTTGGAAGGTACTCTCTATGTCGGCTTCGTGACCTCCAACACTGACAACCGCCTCTTTACAAAGGTCTTGTACCCAGGAGATGTTTTTGTGTTCCCACAGGGTCTCATTCACTTTCAATTTAATAATGGAAAGACTAATGCAGTAGCTCTTGCTGCCTTAAGCAGCCAAAACCCCGGAACTATTACAGTTGCTAATGCAGTGTTCGGGTCAAATCCAAGGATTTCTGATGATGTTCTTGCCAAGGCATTCCAAGTGGACAAGAAGGTGGTAGATTATCTTCAAGCTCAATTTTGGTGGCCCAGCAACTAGAGAAAGAAAGAATGGAGAACTTATGAATCTATTATTTGTTAAACTTTAATTAAATATGATGCAATATAGCATAAATAAGTGGATTGGTTGTGGATGATTTCCTTAAGATTGTTTTCTTATGATTTTATAATAATGAAGTTTGTTAAATAGTACTCCTTGTCTCTCTCCTCATACAATGATGACACTCTCATGATATTTTTTTAGGCTCCCTATTGATATAATAATGACACTCTTGATCTTTCTTGGAGTTGTTACAAGTAAGTCCCATGCACAAAATTCAAAATCCATCTAATTCCAAAACAAAATACTTACATCAATTAGTCCTACATATTTTTAATTGTTACCAAAAAATTCTTTTTTTTTAATAACTTTAAAAATGTTGCTACATCCCACCACTGCCGATTTTCCGTCAAACGGTCACTAGAGACTCGCCGGAATATTCAACATCATCGGGAAGTCACCGGAAAGTCACCGGAGTATTGTTGGAATTTCGCCAGAGTGTTCTGAACGTCACTGGGAGTCGTCGAAATGTCCAAAATGTTCGTTGAGCATCAAGAACATCATCGGAGACTCACCGGAATGTCCAGAATATTGTCAGGAAAAAAAAAGAATAAATGAAAAAATTATAGTGAAAAAAACATAGCAAAATGTGCTAAATATTAATAAACTAAATGGGAAAAAAAATAAAAATAACAACAACAAACAACAATGGGAAAAGTGTATATTATTTTTTAATTTTTGTAGGATTTAAACAAATAATCTCTAATATTGATCAAATTGAAATGTATGTTTTGAAACCATAACAAGCATGATTCTATTAAGCATTTATCCTTATTAATCAAACTGGAAAACATGTTATGAAACTGCAAAATTTTATAGTTCTAAAGAATGTTAAGAAACTATAAAATTTGACAGTTTTAAAGCATGATTCATTTTAGCAACAAAAAACCGAAACTATAAAATTTTACAGTTTTCAGCGCCTGTAACTAAAACTTAAAAACAAATTGTTCAGAACTTGAAAATTTTCTCCATTAAAATAGGAAAATAGAAATATGTAGTAGAGAAAAGGTAGAAAATTTGAGAAATCGAAGGAGAGAAATAGATATAGAGAGAATATTGTACTCCAGCAATTATTTTTGGTTTAGATCTAGTTGGATCTCATGTAGATTTTCTCAGATATGATGTAGATTTGAGTATATCTACTCATTTGCTTCGCTGAAACTCGTTTCTTTCGCCGTCAGTTAGAGTGATGTAAAGAGTCAATAGTCAGTGGTTGCCGGTGAACCCCAAGCAATGATGGTCGTCAATCACCGATGACTATATAGTAGAAAGAGAAAGAGAAGAAGTAAGGTATGATCGACGGTCACCGAAAATCATGAAGAGAAAGAGGTAGAGAAAAACAAATGCACAGAAAAGAATGAAGATGGAAAATATATAGTGGACTTTTGAGAGTATTCAAAAGGTTGTGGGACTAAATAGACTAATCTTCTCTTAAATAGGACTTTCAAGTAATTTGCCCGTCTTTCTTTAGGCTCTCATATCAATAGCTAGGAGAAGGCAATGGACCATCAAACTTTTGTTAATTGAAATCTTCCAATTAGTTTCGTCATAACATTGGCTCGAAGATGGCCTGACTCAATTGAACCCTAAAATATATGGGCTGGGCATGGGTTGATGGATAGGACTTGTGGGCTTGATGGACATTTTGAGGCCTAACTTGAAACTCGACCCATAGGCCCATCCCAAAAGCCCACATTAGACCCATATACACCAAATAATTGATTTATAATTTCACTTTAGTTTTTTTTTTAATTTTTTTTATATGCATGAACATATGCACTTTTAGTAAATAATAATATTGAAAGGAAATAACTAAGTGACTAGCATGCAATGTATGAAACTAGTATTTAAATTTCTATGAAATTAAAGATGCACATAATTCAATAATATAATCATAAAAGATGTAATTTTGTATTTCAACAAATAAGGATCTTTTCTTTTCGTTTTTCATGATTCAAAAGGTGATTATAATTGTTGTGATGTACTTCAAAATTTTGTAGGGCGTTCGGTTCAAAAGTCCAATTATGGATTTTTTTTGTCTAAAGATCCATGCTCTAAACTACTTTGTCCATAAGGACAAGTTTTTGTAAAATTACCAAACTACTCCATGATATATATATATATATATTTTATAACAGGTGAACGTAAAATAAAACCCACTCTCTCATTCTCTCTCTCTCTTCCTCTGCCCCGCCGTTGCCCTCCTTTTTCGCTTCCCACCTCGTTGCCTCATTTTCTGCCTACAACGCTTTCTTCTCTCTCCTCTTTCTTCTTCTCTAGACTCTAATCCTAGCCCCCCTGTCTCAGTTGATTACTGTTCTGTCAGATCGCCCACGCCTCCAATGTCCTTCACTTCCCCATCTCTCTCTCATGCGCTCTGTCTATATTCTCTTCAACTACGATTGGCGTTGTCGACGCAATAGCGCGACAACATGGGATCCAGCGATGTCTCAACCCCCTTTCTATCACCACTCTCTCTCTTTTTTGTCTCTCTACTCTTAGTTTGTAGGTCAGATCTGACCAAATATCAAACTTGATGATGAGGAAATGCAAGAAAACATAAAGAATTTTTTTTCTTGTTTATTTATTTGTTCATTCTTGTATTTTATGCAACGCCCCAAGAAAATATGCCCAATAAAATACATCCACCATTGCTCCTTACAATAAATAAAAGTAAATCCGCAACACTAAAATACATAATCATATGATATTTACAAAATAGTTCTACATGCAATTATACATTCTATGACTTTAGTACACGAATCTATAGTATGTAAAACATCCAGTCAAAATAAATAAATGCCCTCAAGGGGCTACAAAGTCCAAGGCTTAAGCCTGGTTGCATAAAATGGTTGCTCGAACCCATATAAATATAACCCTTGGCTTGCAAAAAATATGATCACAACAAAACTATAGCCTTGTGCTCTCAATATACACATACACGCCCTTGGTTTGGTGGAATCACCACTTCTTTTCCTGCACAAAATCCCATAAGGTGAGCATAAAACCCAGTAGAAAATTCTTAACAAAGTATATACATTTTATACAATTCTCACAAGGTGAAATGCATATGCATATGCCATGCCATGCTTTTAAAAGAAAGTCACGTAATCATCTTTTTTTTTTTTTTTTGAAAGCCATCATGCTCAATGAAAACTTGAAGATCTAACAATTTAATAATTTTTAGCATCAAGTTCAAGGAGCGGTAAATATGACTCAGGTAATCTATGGGTTAGTGTCTGCAAGTAGGCATAACTGTAACGCCCTCAAAATAAACCCATTATATGTATATCATCAACATGCATTATTTAAAGAAAACAATCTATTAATTCATTCATCAGAGTATTACTAAATAAAAACATTACATGTAACATCAAATTAAATGCCCTATGGGCTTACATCTTTCCAAGCCAACCCTGGACACAAATCATGAGTTCTAACTCAAATACAAATAAAGCCCTAGGCTTGATTATTCATCAAATAAAAACAAACAACTAAAGATAGTCTTCAACTTTCAAAATCCTTCCATGCTAAGTTCTGGGAGGTAGCTTATCACCTGGACCTAAATGAGTTCCCATAAAAGGTGAGCCACAACCCAGTAGAAATATACTAAACCACATATAAGCAATGAATAAAGCAATAGCATTCAACAGATGGTTAACCAAGATAATCAATTACTTCATTTTACAGTCTCATGACACTATTGTCTAAGACGCGTTTTACTTTCCAACTTTATCAATATGGCTCAGAACCTGGCCAAACTTACAACAGTGAATTAATATATATATATATCGTATTCACGTTCTTCCAATGTCAACAAACAAATGAGACTCAAGCTCAAATCAAAACACTTCATACTTCCAGATTGATACACATAGATTAGTGCTGGTTAGTTAAAACACTTCTATATAAATAAGCACACATAAAAGTGATGCTAATGGAGTCCATCCCCTATCTCCTCCCACAAAAAAATCCGGTTTAGAGGTCCATCCCCTATCTTCTCCTAAACCGTGGAGTACATCCCCTATCTCCTCCCACACAAAACAATGTATGTAAACACATAACATATACAACACACAATCAATATACATAATGTCTGTATTAATTCAACAGCCAAAATTGATGATTTAATCAATGATTAGTTTCAGTTATACCTAATCCACATGCAGTGTCTACAACAATCACAGCTATCCTCCACCGATAGCCCAAAACAGTTATTTATAGACTGAAAATAAATATATCAACAATTCAATGGGTGAGTGATTTAAATTATCCAACTACACCTCTTAATCAATGAATTCCTCAATTCCATGAATTTAACCATATTTTCCCCAATTTCCTTTAATTAATTATACAATTTAACTTATTAAAACCACTAGGGTTTTTCCCAAAATTACCAAAGTATCCCCAACATATCAAAATACCAAAACTTAGAACAAAACTTATAGAATGGAGTAGGAAATCCCTACCTCGAAGAAATAGCCCCAAAAGAGAATGTGGAGATGAAGACCCAAACTTCAAAGTGCTCCAAACAACCAACAAGACAGATTAAAACGAAGCCCTCGACTCACACACTCTTTTTAATGAAGGATCTAGGGTAGAAACACACCCTAAGTAGATCAATCCTAAGAGAGAAGGTGTGTATAGGGAGAGAAAACTCGTAACTAGGGTTTTGGAATATGAAAGTGTATGAAAAACAGATCTGAAACACGCTGCTGCCTATTTAAATTTAAACCTGACAGGCTCGCTCGAGCGAAGACTTGGTCGCTCGAGCTACCAGACACACGAAAAACTCGCTCGAGCGAAGAAAAGCTCGCTCGAGCCAAGAATGCAGTGCTTCAGGTCTGCAACCCTGTAGCACGCTCGAGCGACAAAATGCTCGCTCGAGCAAGGAACTCGAAAACATACACCTGGCTCGCTTGAGCGAAGAATATCTCGCTCGAGCGAATAAGCACTGTCCTCAGGTCTAAACCAGACGCAGTCGCTCGCTCGAGCGAAGCAAAGCTAGATCGAGCCAGAAGACACAAAATGCAACCCTCGCTCGAGCGAAGAAACCCAGGCTCGAGCGACCAACCCAAAAACTGGACAGCAA